CTTGGGAAATGTTACTAAGTATACTCTATATGAACTTTTCTAAATTACCCTTGCTAAGCTTGGGGATTAACATCTTATTATTGACTCTTTATTTCACTGCATATGTAACTGTAAATATTTTTAAGGTAAAATAAACATTCCCAGAAGCTTTAATAACACACTGTTATTTTTATTAATTTTCTTTTTAAGTAAACATTACTGAAATCATAAAGATGGTCTTGTGAATAAGTGATTGGTTTGTGCTCTGGAAGATTCAGATTTAGGGTCAGACTACAACTTTCTGTGAAAACTTGAAGAAGTCAAACTGTCTGGGCTTCTGTTTCCTGTTGGTACCTTTTGGAAAGTGATTGCAAACTTTTCTGTGTTGACGCATTAACAGCATAGTCAAATCCCAAGCTCTAAAAAAAAATAAGAATAGGTAAAAATCCACAGTTTGTTTGTTTGTTTGTTTTTAGTATTTATGATCTGTTTTTTGAATCTTTAGATTGTGAAGTTCTTCCCTGTAGCCATGAGACATGGAAATTTTATATTATTTGTTTCTCAAAGAAACTAAAAGCTTGAACCTTCACATAACTTCAAACACTGTAAAAAAACACTGACTACACACATAATGAAATTTTATTACTGTTGACAGAATTATCTATTCATAATGAGTCATACATGAGATCAGCTACAACAGGAAAAATGTGGTATTGAAAGTACTCTGCACCAAACAGGTTGTGCCCATAGAGCCACTGAGTTTAGACTTTGAGTGACTGGGCAAGCCATGAAATTTGTAATTTCTTCCTTTTAATTTAGTTAGCAAAAACGGCAATTCATTTTTTTGGGGGGGGGGAAAAACTCTAAACCGTGGAAGCCCTCTCCATTGTTTAGAAACAAACTCCTCTCATGGATAACAATGTATCAATTCTAGTAGAAAAAAATAGCATTTCCACCCTATTTAAAAAAAAAAACAAAACACCTTGACTATTTCTGTGATGGTTAACCTTGCAACAGTAATATGTGCCCTTGTGATCAAAAGGCCTGTTTACTGTAATTCTCTAATAGCTTATGCAGGCTTTTCTCTTCCCTGCAGATTCTTGGAATGCAGAAACATGTTTATTTCTTTGTCTGAGCAACTCTGCTATCACAACCCCCTGCCAGCATTCTCTAAATTGGCTGCCCATAATAGTAGAATAATTTCAAGATGACACTGTTAGTTTCTAAAAACCTTAAAAAATTGTTCTAATGAGGTCCATTTGAGGTTTCCCTCCTCTATAGCTATGCTCATCTTCATAGGAATTTTGGTTCTACCTCTTAAGTTATAGCAGTAAGAGCATACCTTAGGTGTACTAAGCATGGAATTGAAAGCATATTTTTCTCTGGCATTTTTCAGTTCCTGCTTTTCCTTTTTTACACAACATCTGGTCAATTTGTCACTTGGAGGGTGTTAAAAAACTACTATTTTAGCTGGGTTGTTTTTTATGAACAGTCTCTTAAAATCTCAGGTGTCCTCCTCTCTTTCATGAGATGTGATTGATATTAATCTCACTTTATACGTATAATTTACTGACCACATTCAGAGCTTTTTCCCTGTTTCTGCTTTACATGAATATATTGAAATGATAAGATTTGCTTCGAGGTCAAATGTCTGGAGTAATGTAGTGCAACTCTTCATATAGAGTATCTTCGGACAGCTTTAATGTTGTGATTCCTGAGTTAAACAACCAGAAGGAAAAAGAGAGAAAATAGTGATGAAAAAATATTATATCATTTACAGTGAGCTAGAGAATTCCTGTTTAAAGAGAGCAGGAACTGCCCGACTGCCATCAAACAGGTGTACAGTCTACCAGCAGGAATGTTACACCAGAGGCAGTTCTAATCTAGTTTGTTTAAGCATAGAAAATGAATATATGGCAGCTCAGCTTCCGTGCAAGTTTTGCAATGTATAGCTGGGTTTCTGAGTACTCAGGAGGTTCAATCTTGATTCCAGTATATGCACAGGCGTGATTACAGCTAAGTCACTTACCTGTACCTGACCTGTTCTGGAATTAGAAGTTCTTTTGCTGAATAGCTAAACCAGCAATGCTGGAAGGAAAAGTAAATGTACCAGGCTACAGAGCTGCTTGACAGACACAAGGAGCAGGCCAATGCCAGATGACAGAGAAAGTGGAAAAGGAATGTAGAACAAACTGAATTTCAAATTGTGGTCCACTGAAGTAGTAGCAGAAAGGGCAATACTTCACCCAAAGTCTCCAACATGAATACATAACATTGTGAATGTCAGCAGAAACTGCACAGTTACTCAGTGGAACACACAGCCTTACAGCATGAAGAAATAGTTTTACAGGCAATTCTTTTTTACTTGTTAATATCTCTTTAAACATAATCAGGTCCATCTCAGCTACTTCAGAATTCATGTATTATACTCTGATCTTAGTGCTTTGCTCTATTTATGGAAGTTGATTATAATAACCAAAAGAAAGAATTATGCCTTTGTTGGAATGCATCAGTACTTTCCATTACGTTACGAAAGCAGAACTGTATTCCCTCTGCAGGAAGAAACTGGGATTGCTTGTGGTTTTTAAAAATATTAAACTAAGTAGTAGATAATATTTTTGACTAATGTGAATTTACACTTGAGAGCATAGAAATATTTTTTTATTGCTGAAAACTTACCCTAACTGATATTATAGACATATTATATATACACTACATATGCATTATATATACCTTATTCTTGTTTGCCAATAAAGGTTTGATATCTGTACATACAATAATTTGTAAACATCTAATCCACAATCTCTGAAATGACATTCATCTGAAAGCCTCAAATATCCTTCATAGTACGCTCATAAATGTCAACCTCAGAAATTATTAATGTGTGGGATATGAGGCAATTTAATCCCCAGTTGAACCCAACACTAGATGCAGAAGAAAAACAGCAATATCTATTATGCCACTTTGCATCAATTGTTAATGATCCATTTTACTAAATGAAGAGCACACTTACTGCAAGTACTTGTCCTGAAAATGGAAAATCTACCACCATATTGTAGGACTAACAAATTAATTCAATCAGTAAGTATAAAATGAATGGAATGGATCAAACTTCTTCCTTCACTTGGCAGAAGCCACTGACTTGAGCCCTTGTAAAGAGAACCAACATCTTCTATATGTTATTAGTGCTTATCCTTCTGCTCTCTCTAAAGTGAAGATTTAGTCCCTAAGCTGCATTTAAGGTTAAGCCTGCTGAAAAAATCGAGGGCTGAAACTTATAATATATTGTCTCTTATTGTCATATCAAAATGGAAGTAAGTAAAAATATTGAAAAACTTGACAGATAAAGAAGGAATAAAAGTATTTTTATAAGACTGGAGGATTAAGGATACAAATTTTCTACCTTGCATACAGCAGTACAAGGAACAAATATGCTGTGCTCCTTCAGATCTCAAGATATCTGACCCTTATGTACTGAAGTGTTGAAAGAAAACACTTATGCCATTCTGTCAGACAGAGGTCTGGCCTCACCTCTGCTACAGCCATGAGTAGGCACAGTTACTCAGTCATTTTCTATAGGGAATTATTACTTGTAAAAGTGATACAAAGACTGACACAAGACTATTGCTAAGGAAAACCTTAACATCGGAAAGAACATGAACAAACAAATTCCCAAATACAAGGCTTCTGCTGTACTAATTAAATTGGAGGCTATTTGACACAACCTTTAGGGAAACCACCCTTATCAGGATCATTTGGAAGCTTTAAGAGGTAAGGTAAGAGAAGAAAGGAAATCTTGTTCTTTAAAATGACAAGTGGCTGCAGTACAAGAGCATGCTGGAAGGAAATTTAGTGGAGCAGAATATACATGAAAATATGAAGAATAAAATATATGAGAATATAGTTCTGAGAAGAAAGATGTAAAGGAGAAACATGAGTGAAGGTCTTGAGCACTTCGAATTTGCACAATTGTGGAAGAAGAAAGTTTAAAAAAAGTGCTGACGAATCACTCTGCAGACTCAGCAGTACACTAAATTTTGGAGTTCAATATGGCTTGGTGATGTGTACTGGGGCTGTGGCAAAGTGAGACTGGCTCTGCACAGCTGCACTGGAGTACATTACAACTAATCTCTGTGTTTATGCTTTCAAGTACATCAGACGAAATTTTATTGAATAAACAACTCTGAACCTCTTGTACCTTTACTTTGTGCTGTGATTAGTTCAACACTTATTGCAAACCTATCTGATCTCAATTTTTGTTTACTCTTGTATTTTGTCGGTATGACAGTTGTAATTATATGCTCTTGAGTTTTTTCTCTGGTTGTTTGCTCTTCTGCTAAACACAATATTAGCCCTTTAGAAATCCATTTATTTCTACTAGCTATCTATGAACCACTTATTGGTTGTGTCACAAATGAGTAGACTCTAATTAGCCCATCCATTAATTGTTCAGATTCCTGAAACTTTATTTAGACTACCATTGCATAGTCAATGGTCAGTGTCACCATCTGAGAGCAGGTTTTGTATAAGAAAAATCAGTCTTACCCAAGAAGTGTAGAAATCTTAAGTAGGAAGAGTAGTCAGACAGGGCTACTACCTCGCAGTCCCACAGCTTCTATCTCACTTCCACCATTTGCCAAATGCTGCCAGCACAGTTGAGTGTGGCACAAGCAGTTACAGGGTGACAGAGGCTGTGGTGCCATGCAGAGTGTGTTCAAAGCAATCAGAAAGCTTGTTCTGTGGCCAAGGCCCCAAGACCTTATAACTGTCCCTGGTGATCCAAGGCAGAGGACATATCCATCTGAGAAGAGCAGAGGTGGAAAAGGATGCATTTTTCAGAATCTTGATTTTTTTTAAGTTATAAAAATGGTTAAAAGTTTACAATCTACCTCATGTTTTTGCTGAAAAAATGGCAATCGCAAAGATAGAAATTGTTTCCCTCTACTGTGGATCAGAGCATTCAACAGCTTCTTATTTTTTGCCTGTAGTATTTCTACCAGAACGAACATGGAATTACCTTGACTGTTTCCTTCAGTTTCCTTTCAGAGCAAAGGATCAAATGTCTTCAATTAATCCACTTTTGATAGATAGCTTGATTATAACTATTCAATATGATTGAGTATAGAAATGATTAGTAGATTGCCATATGACGCTAATCTAAAAGATGATGATGTTATGTGAGGTAAGTCATGAAAATTAAGATGCTATGGAAGGAATGACCATAGTTTAGCTGGTGCAAACTCTCCAGAATTTATATTGTTGTTTAGCACTGATTGCACTGTTTCCCTTTAGCTTCTCCAGGTATATACTTTATAATAGGTACAAAAGATAGTATATCTGTCTTAAAATATCTGAGTATTTATGCTGCATTAAATGCCATTAGGTTTACACTCTATCTCTTTGTTGTTCAGACTGGTCTTTCCTCACTTACTATGGATCTCATGTTAGCTTTTAAATTACATATTTCAGGGAATTGGGGTTTATCTTTGAATGCGACTCAGGAATTCATGAATAAATAAACTTGTCAGAACAGCTAGAGCATGTCTCTTACCTGCTCTTTGGGATGTGCTAAAGACTTTTTTCACAAAATAACAATTTGTTAAAGTGTGACTCAAATACAGTAAAAATCACCATACAGAACTAACCTTGGAGGTGTATTTTTTTACAAATTGTTAAGTTGTTAATACTGCATATCGTTCATGGGCCTTTAGAAAAGACCTGGTCATCTGAAGTTAATGAGAACTCTTTCTTGAAATTAATTATTTTCAATTTTGTAACATTCTAATTAGTAGAAAGTTAAGAACAGCTGAATTGAGAACATTTCACAAGGAAATGTTCTAATTTTTCAAGAGTTGGTTCTAATATTGCTTGACAGCATTTTTCCCTTCACCAGTGAATTTGCAGTGGAGTTGACAAAAGAGGTTACCTGTAGTTACCCAGCAGCTGAATCCCGAATTACCATGGCTAAAAGCCAGGCTTGAATGGCTTCACTGACACTCATACCTGAGCTTGCTGCAATTAAGTCTGAATTTTTTCATTTGTACAAAACATTTAATGGTGGCACTGTTAACTATCAGATAGATTTGTTAATTAGACATTCCCAACATTTTCTGCAACCTACTATAGGTATCAAAAATGAATTTGTATTGAATTGTATATCTCTTTCAGTCGTACTCTGACAGCTCCACAGACACAGCTCTGAGTGTAGGTGATGGCAGTATCAAGAATTTAACAGCAAAAAATCTGTCCTGTTGAAAACTTGCCTTTTACCTATTTTTGTAGCTTTTCTTCTCCCTCCTGCAAGAACATGCCTTTCCATGAGTGATGGATTACTACATATAAGGAGTATTACAAAAAGGGTGCGTACATCAGATTCCAATTTGGTCACGAAAACTTACGTACCTGCCATTGTCATCTCTCTGTAAAAAAGAGACAAAGTGACTTTTGCCTTCCATCATCACCCACATCATCAATCCTGGTATTAGTATTATCATCACTGTAGATTTTCAGAAGGTCAAGTTTAAATCTAAGCTCATTCCTAAGGCAGTAAAGCAAATTGGACTGATCTCTTCTGTAAAACCTGGGAATGTAGAATACTTAGTCTTAGTAGGCAGTTCCTCTCCTTTAGTGGATTCAGTGTCTGTATATAATCCAAGAACGGTTAATCTGGTGGGAGAGGGCATGGTAAGCACAGCAAATACAAACTGACAGTATAAAAATAAATTATGAAAATTTATACTAATTCTCAAAACCCAACAACAAATGAAAAAAAAATCAGTCCACACATGATACTTTTTAAACCTAGCAGATTTTAAGCCAACTTGTATATGATTTGTGAAGGTTTGGGTTAGCAGTGGTATTAGTATTTTCAGCAGCTCATGATAACTTTCTGATTAGGGGTAGGAGTGTACCTAAATAAATTGATTTAGATGAAATAACATACAGTGAAATACACATGTGAGAGGAGACCAAAATACCACTCCTAGACGTGGACTCCAGGAAACTCTTCTGTCCACATTTTAAATAGGAAAACATAAACACAATTTAAGGTTTGAGTTCCTAATTTTTACCAGCATTTTTACTATCTAATTCTCCTCTTCATAGTTTTTTTTTTTCATTAAATGATTGTGAATCTATGACTGCAAATAAGGAGTAACAGAGTAGAAGATTGAGCTTTATATCAACACTTAATTGGAAGCAATAGAGCAATCCGTAAAATTTGCTATCAGGCTGTGCCAGGGATAGTACAGAAAAAAAAAATATTGTCATTTTGGTGGTAAGTTTGAATATACAAAGATTTAGTTGGGAACAATTTCACTGAGCAAAGATTAAAAATATTGTACATTTTACCAGGTATAGATCTCATACCTATAAATCTGATTTGTTTCTATGCTATCAACCATTTTTTTAATTTTTCAGAATGGAAAACCTGTTCAAGTATTTTTTATTTATGTGCTCCTTTTTTTGTATAGAACAAAGGCTTAATTCTGACACCAGAGTACATCAAGTAATGTTCTGATGCAACTAAATCACATATTTTAATGTAAGCGAAAGGTAGACTGAGAGAGGCAGAGGGCATGCATTAGTTGAATAGCTACTGGAAGCAGCCAAAATGATAGAACACCTTAAAGGTAATTGCAAGGGAAATGAATCCATGTAAGAAGTACAATACTTAAAGCATTCCCAGGTGTGAAAGTCCTCTTTAGTTGTAATGGTGCTAGCAAGTGCTCCTGTGGTACTTTCTTATTCTGTATATTTTCTGCCGTCAGATAAGATAAATGAAAATGTCTTTTTGTTCATTGACAGTATTATCCCCTCTGACTGAAACATTTTATTCAAGTCTGAAATTTTAACCCTGCTGACATGAAATCATAGTTTTCTGTATCATGTCAGTGACCCACATTAATGTTAGAGAAGTGTTGTAGAACAGTAGCACTTGAGTTCTAGTTTTTTGTAAAATAAACCTTTTTGGAAATTGAGCCAACAGCATAAATTTAGCACAGATCTTACTGTTAATGCTTTATCAGAAAAATGCTTACCTTGAAAGCATCCTACATGCCATAGACAAGCCATGAAATACCTGGAAGGATTAATTTTTTTGGTAACCCACTTCTAGTATAACAGCACGATGTTAAAGAATTTATGGAGTTATGTTATATTTAGCAACAAAGAAAATTACCCAGGGCCTCATGTACTTGGCAAATCATGAAGATGATTTTAATTCCTTTGGTCACATGAAGTAGACCTTATACAAATAAACATTTCAATGAATCCCAGAGTTGTTTCTCAGATGAGTTGAATACTTTGAATGTAAGCAAGATTGGAAAGATCATGAAAACCTAATTTTATACTTTTCCTCAAGCACAGGTTGTTAAGGTCCAAATTCCTAATTTCTGTTCCCTGTTCCCCTGTGTCTTGTAGCAAACAGTACTTCACCTTCTTTACACTGAAGTGCATGAAGTGCAAGTTCATAGCAATTAACAACTGTAATGACATTTTAAAAATCCCCCATGAAGAAAGTTCATTATGCGCTCCTTATTTACCTATGTATTAGTAGAAACTGGTTCTCTTACAGAAAAATGTAGTTTGTATTTGACTTCCTCCTTTACTCTTTACCAAAAAGTCTTCTCTATAGCTAAAACAATTGGCTTGTTGTAGTATCATTTGTGATTCAGGTGACATTCTTGAAGAAATGGTGCTTTTCTACGTTGCCTAGTATTTCTGTTTAATACACTGATGATAAAACTCTGACAACTGAAGAATGAAATAAGTATGAAAAAAATATTCCTGGCTTTATAATGTTCCGTTTACTTTCCTATTCCAAATGTAATGTTTTCTCATCACAAGAGTTAGCAATAGACACATGTGGAATTCACAGAATCAGAATGATAGGATGATTTGTGTTGAAAAGATTTTAAAGATATCCAGTTCCAAGTCTGCTTGTTATGGGCAGGGAGCCTTCCACTAGAGCAGATTGCTCAAAGCTCCATCCAACGTGGTCTTGAATGTTTCTAGGGCTGGGGCATCCACAACTTCTCTGGGTAACCTGTTCCAGCACCTTACCATCCTCACAGTAAAGAATTTCCTCCTAATTTTCTAATGTAACCTTGACCTCTTTCAGGTTAAAGCCATTACCCTTTATCCCATCACTACATGCCCTTGTGGAAATACCTTGCTACAGCTTTCTTTCAGACGCCTTTCAGGTAGTGGAATCAGTCTACTGGTAATTACAAATCTCATAATTACTATCTTGTATTGGCCTTTTTAACCACCAGCACGCTTGTAACAAATGTGGGTAGAGCCCTTCTGGAATAGCAAAATGACAACCCTCTTATACATTTTCTGTTTTAAATTCTGAATTCTGTTTGCCTGAGTCCTGACCTGAAGTTACCATGAGCTCTTACTGAATGGGAGACCCTTACTACTTTGCCTATTACTGTTGATTGGAGAATCATACCAAAGCTGGAAACTGTGTATTTTCCTAATGGAGCAAACTGCATACATCTCTCTTCATTTTCTTGTGTGAGGTATTATTCTATCAGCACCTGACTTTGTTCCCTCTTTAGAGGGCTGGCAAAAAATTTGTCTAAATAGTCTATACCCAGAGAGAAAAAAACAATGGGAATCTTAGGGTGAAAGGAGTAGGAAAATCAGATTTTTGGGCTAATGTAAATTTGTGGAACTGTACTGCTATCCATGAGTACATACCCAGATAAAATAAATGACATAGTTTCTCTGTTTTGCCCAGCTGAACATCTGGTCCAAGATTTTGTTTTGTAAAAGAAGTGACTGGCTAACGATGCTTCTCTTATTATCATTTGTGTTTTCTTGGTGTTTTATGAAACAAGATTAGGCTGAAATAATGATAGTATCTGCTTTTAAAAGTCACTCTGTACAGACAAGTACATTTTGCATTAGAATTAGTTAAATTACAAATAAATAGTAAAATGAGCTAATAAACACAAAATCCAGATAGTTCTAACTGCTCTGTGCACATAATTTTCAAATTTGTTTCTCTTAATATAAGAGTGGGATAACCAAGTCTACTGGGTTAGCAGCAGACCTGGAAGGGGGTTAGGGACTGGACTGACAAGCAAAGGACCCAGAATGAGGTAAACACAAAATCATCAAGTCAAAGCTTAAGCAGGACCATCTCCTGCATTTTCATTTAAGCAAAAAAGTGCCTATTCTAGGGCAAACACCATCACTCTCCCAACCTTCTCTGAGAAATCAGCATACTGAGGTGCCTCTCTGAAGTACCTGTACGCTAATGCACACAGCATGGGGAATAAACATGAGGAGATCTGTGTGCAGTTGTAGGGCTACAGTCCTGTTTGAATCACAGAGGCTTAGTGGGATGTCTCCCATGACTAGTGAGCTGCAGTCAAGGGATACAGGTTTTTCAGGAGAAACTGGCCAGGAAGGTGAGAGGAAGCTGGCCTTTTTGTGAGAGAACAGCTGGAATGCTTGGAGTTCTGCCTTGGGATCGATGGTGAGCTGTCTGAAAGCTTATGAGTAAGGGTTAAAGAACAAATCAATATGCACATTGTGTCTGCTAAGGCCACCTGATCAGGAAGAATAAGTGGCCAAGGCCACTGGACCTCTTGGGGAACCTCAGCCACCCTGGTATCTGCTGAAGGAACAACACAGAAGGGCATAAGCAATCAAGGATGCTCCTGGAGAGAATCAATGACAACTTCTTGACCCAAGTGACAAAGCAGCCAATGAGCTGAAATGCTCTGCTGGATCTCATGCTTACAGACAAGGGCTTATTGGAATTGCAAAGGTTGGAGGCAGCCTTGGTTGCAGTGACCACGCAATGTTGGACTTTGGGATTCTGGGAAGACAGAGTAGAGCAAAAAGCAATTTCACAACCCTAGACTTCAGAGAACAGACTTTGGCCTTTTTAAGGATCTATTTGGAAGAGTTTCATGGGTGTCATGGTTTGAGAGTCCCAAAATCTAATTCCCTAGTCTAAGCCCCCTCCCACATCTCAACCCAATGTGACATGGTTTTTTTCCAGACAACCACACAAGACTCAAAATGGGGGAAAGGGAATACATATTACAGTGACTGTACAAATAAATACTACAATACATTTTATACAATCTTAGCTATCTCTGCATGACATAAAAGTATTTACAATGGATCAAATCTCTTTTCCCCTCCAAATAAAATCCAGGAGGGAGTGAAAAGGAAAGATCCTTTTCACTCTCAGAGCAGCAATGTCTCTAGGGCAGCAGGTCTATCTGTTTCACTCTTCTTCTCATGCAGCAGCTGGATCTCTGCCAGCACACATGAAGGGTATCCAAGCCCCTCGGCCACTTGTCTTCAAACGAGGGTCTTCCTCCGTGGGCTG